GAGATGTGTGTGCTAAATTTTGCTGAGCTTTAATGGACAAAGTTACTCTACCATTAATAGACAAGGTTACTCTACCATAGCAGCACTCGATCCGATAATATCTGACTCTCCCTGCAGTGCCTGTGGCTATCTTTTGTTTGCCAAAGAAACCACTGCATCTGTTGAGCTGGCACACATGCAGCAGTCGTCTTCACTCCATGTTTAGCCCGAGGTCCAGAGTATTTACTAGAAGAACCACTGTAGATTTCTGCTGATGAGCATCTGAGATGACCCTTTAGATTAACCTCAGAACTGCTTTTTTTTTTCTTTTTCACCATTTCAGTTATTTGGTTTTATGACATGCCTGATGTTTTTCTGCTGCAGTGATTCATATCATACTGACACATGCTGGCAGGCCTGACTTTCAGCTGACTGTGGCTACTCTGCTTAGACTTTGTAGAGCCAACCACATCTGATAAACTGTAAAATGACATTTAAGGTGCAAAGTTAATGCAATTATTGTCACCCAAGATAGTTACAGTAATTATAAACAGTTTCTCTTTAAAGATATACAGACTTATCAAACATGACAATTAAACCATTATTATTACCGTGTAACGAATGGTAAAAACACAGTCTCTCTTTTGCTATGGTCAGTATAATGCTAATGATAATCAGTCATGACTCACCACAATACACAGTTTTGTTTTGTCTTGTTGTTTTTCAAGCCTTGTCAGTGAAGCAGATCTGTCATTTATTGGACATGGAAGCTCTGGTCTTCAGTCCAAAGGTGACAGCAGCCACCTCCAGAGGAAACATAGATTTTACTGGACAGCAGATTATGTAGTTTAGACATTAACCCTTAACATGTAAAATAATGCTTCAACTGTGTCTTACTGATCTCCATACAGATCCATCCTATACTCCTAGATTATGTTTTCAAAATGAAGTTTGCCGAGCATTCAGTGCCGTCCAGCGCATTTGTATTTGCAGGTGCTGCACAGCCGGAGCCATGACTGGACTAAAGAAAGGTGGAATTCTTATCAGAGCTCATGGCCCAGCAGCCTGTGGAGGCAGCTGCAGGCAACACACGGGATTAATTGGTGGATTTAGTTTCAGGATGCTTTGTGTCCATTTTAGGAGCTTTATCGCTGCCAGAAAGTACATGGGAACATATAGTTCAAAGGGCCCGATGGTGAATACCACTTATTTTGGAGTTTGGTCTACCGACATAAATTGCAAAGTTAAAGATTTTTCTCTGTAACTGTAGATTGTTTATTCTAATGTACGCTACTTATTTTTTGGTGATTATCAGCGTGTTGAAAATGAGAATCTGTAAATAAATAATTTATAACTTAGTCTGGCACTTTTAATTGAAACAAATATGTACTGTTTTTTAACAGCCTATGTTTGCAGAAGGATTTTTTCAAATTAAAGAGGAGATTAATATTTAGATCATTTTAATACCTTTCATTAGGATAATTATGTCAATATAGGTATGTTCTGTGTATCATTCAGCGGAGGAGAAAAAAGCTCTGCTCGGGTCACTGGAGCTCCTCAAAAAAATAAACTGGTCAGTTTGGTGCCAACATTCATTTGATATTGTATTTTGTCTTTGTAAATGGAACATCTTACAGTGATTCAGGGAATAGCTAATGTTGCTAGGTGACGCACACATTTTTACAATTGCAGCTGTAACCAGAAATTAGCCTCAGTATGGAGAGAAAAAGAAGAAGGAGCTTTTTGTATAGTGTGTGTACCACAGAGCAAGATGTGCTCGTACCTGTAAGATGAATGTATAATCAGGGAAAATGAACCACAAATGTTTGTGGTAGTGACCACACGCTCAGCCCATAAAAGCAGATGATTATGGATCTTTTATTAACATTGGCCTGAACAACATGCCGTAATATACCTCTCTCCTTTTCTCTGTTTCTCTATTTTTTCTCTGCATCCAAATAATTAATCAGATGTGATTTCAAAATGAACTTTTCTACGCAGGATCATGTGTGGGCAGCTTGGCAACAGGGAGCCTTTCTGTCATTGTTAAAACTGGTTAGATAAACATTGCTTGGGGATGTGCTTCCCGTGTGGCAGTCAGAGACACGGTGACCCTGCCACCTGCTGCTGCTGTGCACAGGTTTGACCTGTGTCAGCCTCCAGGCCCAAAACTCATTATTTTGTTTGTCATTTATATAAACTGCAGTTCATCACACATAAGGAATGAGAGGAAATGTGTGTACTATTTTAATATCAATCGCATCTAGTGTTAAAATAACTGGTCAGCTAGTATGTTACCTGATTAAAAAACATTAATCAGCAACTATTTTGATAATCAATTAATAGTTTAGGGATTTTAAAAAAAAAAAAGCAAAACTAGCAAAGATTCACCAGTTCTACCTTCTCAAATGTGAATCTTTTGTAGTTTTCAGTCTTTTATGATAGTAAACTAAATATCTTTGGCTTTTGGACTGTTGGTCAGAGAGAACATGTAATGGGAATTTCTTAGTCCATTTTATAGATCAAATGATTACACAACTGATCGAGAAAATAACTGTCCGGTTAGTTAAAAAGCAATGGAAATAATCATCTGTTACAGTTGTTACAAGTATATTAGAACAATGGGCCTTTGTCACTGCAGACATTGGGGGTTGTTAATCACTTATTAATTGCTTTATTAATGAGAGTAATAACATTAAAATTTATAATAGTTGCATTTCATTTAGCATTCATTTCAAATGCCCCCCAGCCAACAGTGCATCACAGTACCATGGGAACTGGTCATTCCACAATGAAACAAAAAAGACAAACATACAGAAATACACACAATACAAAAGGCGAAGCATTTTGGAAATGGCAGCCCTTATTTTGAAACACACCTGAAAGGTATAAAGCGGTTGTTGTTTTTTTTATCACTATTATCACCTCTTTTAATCTACATCATAAAAATATAACAAAGAATGACAGAATTGCAGCCAGTGAAATGAGTGACAGAGCAGCTACATGTATATTTACATAAGCTCAGTGAAAACCTATCAGTCCAGACTGTACAGTATCGTCACGCTCCTTGCATGCTAACAATATATCCACTGCACCAGTGCACTGCGACTCCTTTGCAGCAGATGATGAATTACTGAATATTCCTCTTTGATTTGAGACTTAATACATCCCTATCTTACAGTATCACCATGTCATATGTCAGGATGATGGTATTTGATAATGTGTGCTCGCTGTGATAGTCAGAATACGCCAGCCTGAAATCCTTCCCTGAGTCAAATTTAGCATTTACTCCTTCGTATTTCTGTTATCTGCCTTGTAAATCAATGCAGTGAGGGCATCAACATAACACAACACACACACACACACACACACACACACACACACACACACACCACACACACACACACACACACACACACAATCACAAAATGTTTTTCATCTTCTGTGATGAGAGCCACCAAGCCTGCCATTGACAGTGAAAGTGGCAGGTTGTCAGGCAGCCTTCATCTGTCCATTAAGTCTTCATAAATCAAGATTGATCTGCACCTTTCTGCTTTGCTTTTCATTATGGATATGGGCAGTCCCACATGGGCGGTTTGGGTTAGCTGTGTGCGCACTTAAGCAGCAGGCAGGTAAAGAGAAATGAATTTAAAGGAAGTGATTTGCAGACATAAAACAAAAACATCTTATTTAATGTAATCATAACTGTGTGTTTGAGAAATTTGAGTTTCAGATTTGATATTTGACCTTTAATTCCTCCTACAATGTGACAGTTAAACAAGGTGTCATCACTTCCTATAGGCAGATTTCTTACTAAACAAGCTCAGTAAGCCACTTCTGTGTCGGCAGATTTTAATGCATAATTCTTGGCTTGAAGCAGCCTTTGACATCATATTTTCTTTGTGTTCTGGCTGCATTATGTGGAAGACGTAACAAAGTTCACGCTCGAGAGAAATGTCAGTTCTGAGAAGCTGAGGATGCTGCAGAAGTCATTTTCCAGGATTCAGCAGAGATCAGAGGCAACAAAGAACAGTGTTTCTGCTCTGTTCCAAATAGATGTCTGAACCGCAACTCCAGGTCAGCAGTCTGTTGTCATGAAAGTGCAGCTCTGTTTACTCAGACTTACAGATTCTCCCCAGCTGTAATCAGCAAGGTGTTCTCAGATAGGAAGAGCTACAACATCCAATAATGGACTGTGTTGCAGAAGAAAGACCACTCTGTAAATGATAGTATATCAACTTCTCCACCTTCAAACCACCGTGTTGTGCGCCAGGATGGCAGAATGGAGGGAATGTGTGAGTGTTGGAGCACAAGCCTCCACCAATGTTCACTCAGCAAAGGTTTGAGCTCATGTTCTGTGTTTCTTTTGCTCCTGAGCAGCGTTTAGAAATGCCCTCTGCTGCAGCTTTGCGAGCAGGATGCGTGCACAGACGGGCTGCCAGTTCTAGCAACTGACTGTTGTGTGAGACAAAGTGTGAAGTAATATGCTGTGACCAGAATCCTGGTCAGACTGGTAATTCACTCCAATCACACAGAGAAGACAAGAGGCGGAGAGGAACAGCGGAAGAGAGGCGAGGGCAGCGGGTTAAGAGATGAAAGCTGAGCTTCCTTTCTTCTTCTGCTTTGTATCAATTTTCTCTTTGTTCTCCCTCACTTCTACAGTTTCCCTCCTCATCTGTGCCGTTCTCCTGATCTATTGTTTCACTGTCTCACCTCTAATCACACTAATCTCATTGCTTTCAACATGGCTACTGAGCAAAAACTGCAGGCAAGCTACACACAAAGAACAGGAAGTTTTTGTTTTATTCCTGACTGAAGAAATACTGTGGCGAAATAATTGCACCATTCTCATTGTAGTAAGAGCTGAATGATTTTCTTCAATGGGATGAGTCAATTGTGTTACAGACCTTTTCCTGCTCTTTTATTGCCTAAATGAGAAACTCAGCTTAAGGCCACTTAACCTCTCTCTCACTCTCTCTCTCCCTCTCTCTCCCCACCCCTCCATCCTCTCTGACTCACAGGAAACAAGATGGAAGGATTCCTCGTATCTCTGATGAAGTAGAGCCCTCACTAGTACACTCCCAACCTCCATTTCTTCTTCCCTCACTTTCAAAGGTAATGTGAGACTTCAACCTGCTGCTGCTCTCTGAATCTGAAACTGAGAATTTTAACATGCCTAAAATCAAAGAATGATTTTGCAATTTTTCAGCTTTTTTAGAAAAAAGAGACATCTTGACATGTCACAGCCATGGGAACGATCTGCACCAATATACCAGCTCTTCTGTCATATGGGCACCTCGCTATTGAAAAACCTAGAACCCACTTTAGTAACATCAATCATGGCCACATTTCATTTAGGTTTTCATGTTCCAGACTTCTGAGATTGTACAGGGTTGGTGAGCAGCATGGCTTACTGGTAAAATTGAATCATTAATTACTAATGTTATTAGCTGCACCTGTGCATTTCCTGTTATGACAGGCCAAAAATATCCGCTGTTAAAAAGGTCTGTTGAGGATATTTGCCTAATGAAGGAGGATGTAGACACACATGGATTTCAGTTACTCCCAATCCATATCCTAAGTTGTTCATTTAAAAAAAAAAGTCAAAAGTCAAACAAAAAAAAGAAATTCTTCTTGAATGTCGAGCGTTGCCAGTCCTCTGAAGAATCACAGGTGCGGTGTGATGAATCAAATCTCTTTAATTCATGCAGCATGAAGAGAAGACCCTAACGTGGTTGCTCTCTAAAGACTTGTAAAGACGCCGTACTTACTTATCAAAATAGATGGAGCGTCCGCTGTCCACCGCCCGAGTCCGGCGTCAGGCGGGAACCTGTCCTCCGTTTGTCAGAGTGGAACTTTCCCTGAATCTTCTTGAGACTCCTGCTGGCCGGTAACCTTCAGTCTAGAGTCAGATCGTTGTCAGACTATTACAGATGCAGTGTGATGAATCAAATCCCTTTAATTCATGCAGCATGGAGAGAAGACCCTAACACGGTTGTTCTCTGCAGACCTCCGGGGTGTCTTGCTTTTATATACTGCCAGGCAAACAAAAGAAAAACAGCTGTTGACTCATGGCAAGATTGGTTCAGTCAGTCATACATTCAGGTGTTTAACATGCATTTCTCAGTACAATGATTGAGTAATGTTCGCTGAACACACACACACACACACACACACACACACACAAATGAAAGTATAATAGTTTTGCCCCATTAAAATCATCTTCAGTGCTACAGACAGGGACTGTGGAAATGACTGAGAAATAGACACATTGTAGGTTTTGAGCTTTTCATGATATTTGTTGACAGTAAGAGAAAATATAGAGTAACATCAGCCTGACTCTTTAAAGTGATAGGAGAGATCAGTGTTTGGTGCGATCCCCAGAGGCACGAGCCCCGTACATGGAGTAACCATTGGCACTGAAATAGTGTTACGAGTCCGTTCCCTACCCTCATATCATCTGTGCTTTAAGTCCTCATCCGTTTCCTCCTTCTTTTTTCACTCACCAAATCCTTTCGCTTCTACACCCAGGTGAAAGGTGCCTCTGATGCCCCCACCCCTGCTAGCACAGTTGGCAGGCTGTTGTGGTTCCTGACAGAAGAGTCTGTGCCCTCTGTCACAGGCTTCTGTGACAAATATAGATAAACAGCAGTTGCTCCTCTCTAATACATACCATGGGAGGCACACTGGTGTTATTTTTGTCACACATGTACTGTTGTTCCAATTTTCAAGGGATTAATAATATGTAGCTTTATATGGATCTGCAAAGAATAGACTTCTGAGGATACATTTGTTTTTGTTTTTAAATGCTGTGTCCCAGAGCTAATGATTTTATAATGTTACAAGTGAGATTTCTAGCAAACTTTAATTTGCATTTGCCAAAATGGATTGTGTGTAGTACACACAGGTATATAAGGTTAGAGGTTGCAGACGGTGGGGTTGCAAAATCCAAGAGCTGAGACAAGACGGAAACACTTATTGCTGCAGAAATTGCAAGTGGTTGAAGTGAAAAGCTCTTTAGGTAATTAAGTCTTTCTGAATAGAACAGGGGTGATACAAGGAAATAAGACAAATTCATATAGTGGAGTCTGGATCAGAGAAAATCCAAGAAGACTTCAGATGAAGTATTGTACAGTATCCCAAATTTGACCTATTGAAAGGTGCTGCAAACACTTATATTGGCCTGTAAGTTGCTGTGTAACCTTTGCACATAGACGTAGCTACAGAGATGCTACCTGTGTTTTAAATCTTCTTACTGTGGGAGATTTACTTCCATGCAAGTCAGACACAGTGCTTCAGTGTGTTATAATGATGTGATCACAGCTGATAGTCTGAAGGTTTTTACAGTGTTGTCTCCAAGTCCGACTACAACACAGGAGTCCCTTTTCAAACAAAGTCAGATATTCATCTGTGTATGAGGATCCATACATGTGCTTCGTGCTCCAAACGCTCATATTTCAGCTCCAGATGGAGCTGCACAAAGTCATTAATTGCCTCAGCATCAGTTGGGTCTGAGGACTACACGCTTGAAAATAATCTGAGGGCGCAGACTTAGAAGGAAGTGAGTTTACCAGACTTCTGTAGCCCACTCCTCATCCCTGCTGGATGCTAGAGGCTTGAGGCTACATTAGCCACTACTTGCAAAATATACCCATATCTCAGAGTGAATTGTGGGCGGTCATGCATTGTGGGTAAGTTTTGACAAGAAAGAAGAATGCTTAGAATAAAAACATTATATCTCTGCTTCTCCTGCATCAATTGTGATCCCTTTTTTCTGTCTATTATGAGTCTGGCAATGTTATAGCAGTGCAGTGCTACACTGATGTAGCTCTCTTGTAATTATTTCACGGACTTGCTCAGCAGTAAGTTCAGCAGTAACACAAGGATACTAATGGATTCAGCAGCTTTATGCTGAAAGTTCAAGGTTTTGCTTCCTGAAGTCGTTAATAAGGTATTTAGTGATAATAATGCATCACACATACAAATGGCCAAAAGATGTTAATCAAAGAGCAACAGGTGCTCTGTGTTCCAGGGAGTCAGAGCGCCTCTTTTTATAAACTCATTGTTCACTGCTTTTAAAAGACAGTCTCAGCATACAGAAAACTCAGCAGCGGTTCAGTAGACCTTAATCTTTTGTATGTGTGGCAATCAACCAGCTCTTCTGACGGGGTGGGAGAGGAATCTGCGTGAACTCCATTTGTGTCTCCCAAGCACCAGTGGCCACAGCAAGGTCAGCCTCGTCTCTACAGGCAGACCTGATGAATGGCCCCCGATAGATTTTCTCTGGCTGAAATGATGGGCTTCCGCGCCCACTGATTGACTCTCTTTGAAGTTTAGTTTTCCATTTCTACTGTATTTCCTTTGAGGGTGCAGCTAAACCACAAAGCATAAATGGAGGGATGGAGATATTGCTTTGGATGCAAATCATTGGCAGTTTGTCTGTGGAAATTTAAATAGGTGTCTGTATGTGAGGAGTTAATGAAGTGCTGGACTCAGAGGTTTTCAGGAGAAATGTCTGGACTGTGTGGTTCACGGATATTAATGCCCCTCATATGTATTCACTCACAGACTGTATTTTGACTCACTCATCCATTCAGCCAAGTCAGTCAGTCCATCAGCGAATCAGTTGATCAGTCAGTCACGCACTCTCACTACCTTACTTCCATAGGCGCACACGCTGCAATTGCTGGTAATCAACTTAGAGGGAAAGAGTTGTGTGTAGCTCTCAACCCCTCAGGCATTCAAACAGTGATGATGCGTTCACTGCAGCGGCTCCATATTGTCTCTGATGCCTGAGGTGAGCAGCTTAAAAGCACATGAAATCTGAAAGTCCCTCGCAGATGCTTCACAGTCAAACCTGTGATGACTTGCACTTGTTTATTGCTGGCCTTGAGCTTCTCCAGTACATATTGTTCCATTAGATCAGAGACGTCATAAGGGAGGAGACAAACCACTTAATTAATCCTGAATAGAATATCCATAATGCCATATATCCCGCCCTCTGCCAAAACAGCCAATTGTCTGCAGCCAATATCAAGCCAATTGTGTTGTGTCACCTTGTGCATGCATAGTATTAGTTAGGGGTGGGCGATATGACGATATTAGATCGTGAAGGATTACAACGTGAAGACGATCTTTCAAACTGCAAAGATCGTGGGATCGTCTAGGGCACATTCTATAAATTGCAGTTCTATGCTGATGCACCGACGCACCAGATGTATTGACGTCGTCAACCTGATCGACCAATCATAGCGAATTACGGGCAGTGACGCGCTTTCCTACCCGCCTCCTTGTTTGTGTGTGTAGCGGTAGCACATGGAGAGCGATGGCTGAAAGCCAAACGGAGTTGGTCGCTAAGAAAAATTCCACCTCCATTATATGGAATTGGTTTGGATTTTCCGCAACTGATCAAGCGCGAGCAAATGTAATTTGCAAAGTTTGCACAGAAACCGTTCGCACGTCGGGTGGTAACACGACGAACCAGAATGTTGTTGTTGTTTACCTTAAACTTTACGTTGTTTGCACATGCAGGCAAAACTGCGACTATTTGAAATAAAATCTGTTAAGAAAGGTTCTTTGGTCTAAATTGTCTGTTTTTCTTTTTCCAATTTAAGATCGTGATAAAATCGAAATCGTGATTTTATTTTTAAAAAATCGTGATATGATATTTTTGCCATATGGCCCACCCCTAGTATTAGTATAACCTGTGGGGAAAAAAACGTTTTGAACCTTATTCTGGGGCAAAGTCTCCAAACATTTTCAGCAGTTTTTATGAACTTTGACTGGTGATCATTGAAAGTGAAGTTATGACACTCTCCCCATTCATTCAGATAAGCGCCCTGGTCTTGTTAGGGTTAAATTACTGTACAAGAATGCTGCCAAGATGGCTGCTGATTGGTGAGACATGCCTACAAGGACTTTGATTAGATCACACCACATACTGTAGTCACCAAAACCAAGCAGGGTTGTACAACAGCGGCTTGACCTTCCTAACAGCTTGAGGTGAAATGTGGCACTCACCAACGCAGCTTCACAGTCCGTACGCTTTATAACTGACACAGTGTCAGTGCTCATATTTTGGATCTGAAAAAGTCATTAATATCTCAAATTTTGCC